ATAATAGATGAAGATTAAAGGGACGTCAAAACAAAAATAAAGTAGTGAAATCGAAAGCCAATTTCTGGGCGAAAGAAGTAAACGTACTCGGTGCAGTCAATGTTAGGATCAGTGGTAATGCTGAGGTTGACGTTGCAGACGGCCGGCAGTTGCTTGGCGTTGTCATAATTTAAGTAAGGATAAGTTTGCGCAGATCAGATATCGAGCATTGGCAAGCGGATTGCAAATCAGTCCTTATATCTACGAACTTGCATGAGAGTGTGCGCGTTGCATGTTGCAAGCCAATCTTTAGTTAGGACTCAGTTTGAAATTACACGTTAAAGTTTAAATGAATCCTGTTAATCCTATTAATCTTATTAATTTAATTTTATTCCATAAGAAAATGTTATTGATTTCAGCCGAATTTGGCAACATCTTGTGCACCAGAACAACGTTGGGTACTTCTGCACAAACGCATAATTATTTCGTTTGGTGCGTAATTCTTTCATTTATGCAACATCTTGTAGTTTGTGCATGCGCTAGCTTGCGCTGAAAGGACTCAACAGTGTTCTTATTACTTCTATTTTTTTTTTCTGATAAGAAAAAGTTTGAATAGTTTCGGCTCTGATTATCACGATGAATTAAGGCGTGTTTCTAGTGCTTCTATGTCACCATGTGAGTAAAAAAAAATTGTTTAGGAGTACGAGAATTTGACACATATTATTGACAGCTATGATACTCTTATTAGTAATTGATCAACAATTAATTAGTACTGTGATGACGGTCTTATTAAATTCGAACCTGTAAAAACTTGACTAAGCATTAGTATGATAGCTTGATACTAGTAGGCATTAATACATAGATTTTAAATCTATCTGAACTGAGTGTAATTAATCATCATGTTTAACAACTTTACCAGAGCAATAGCACATTCCTTCAATCAGGATGAATTTTGTCTTCTATGGTGTAACCATTTAATTAAAAGCTCGTACCCAGAATCAGATGGCTCCTCTGCTGAGTTGCTTCAACAACCAAGGGGCAATCCACCAAGGCGGCCCCTCTATCGCGGTATTAATGTGGCCGTGGAAAATGGGTGCAAAAGGAAAACACCCTCTCTATGGGACGAAATTGCTTGCCCATCTCCCATTGTATTTTTCCTGGCGAAGATGTCTTTTTGTTCAGTCAAACAGACCCAAATTCTACCATCTCTGCAATTAAACGTGTTTTAGAAGACTTTTGCCTCCGATCGGGACTCATTCATTATGAAGCCCGAGCTTCAAGGTCGGAAAGCATATCTATATTCTCATTGGCAAGAAGTCGAAGTAGAAGCAGGGCTTTAATTCAACAAATTAACTATAGCAACCATTCCTCCTTATTAATTATTCCCAATCTTTACGCTTACAACTTAGTCTCTGTGAAGACATTGATCGGGAGCAAGGAAACTTCTTGTGGGGATCCACTAATGAAAAGAGGAAGATTCAGCTTGTCAAATGGGAGGGGTAGCTACGAAACCCCAAGAGTCAAGGTACGTGGTCTCGGCATTCATGGCTAAACCTTGCTGGCAAGTTATGCACGCGAGCGAGAAGCCCTAAACCCAAAGTCATCAGTCGAAAGTATGTTGATAAACATAAATCCACGCTAAGTTGGAAAGCTTATTCCTTAAGCATGCTAAAGGATCCAACATCAACTTTAAGAAGTCTTCAAAGCGGTCCTGTATTAATGATGAAGGAATCAAAACTCAAAGGTATTCGAAATGGCGTGAATACCGTAAGTTTGGGAACAAAAGTGGTTCCCTCAAGGACCCACTTGGAGTATTGATAAAGGGGCCACTTTGAAAAGAAGAAGAAGTCTTTGTTGTAAATAAAATGTGTATTTCAAAAGATCTTGTCTCACATTGGAAAATCAAAGGACTCCTCATCATTTATAATGTTTAGGCCCTGTTTGGCAAGTGAATTTTTTAGATATTAGTTTAAAACTTTACTGTAGAAGTTGTAGAAATTTTTTTTGAAGTATGTAAATTTTTGGATATTTTAAAATATATAGTTTAAAAATTTTAAGAAGTTTTTTGAGATTATGGTGATTAAAGTTGTTAAAAAACTTGTAGCAGACAAATTTGGCCAAAAACTTGCTTGCAAACAAGGCCTTAGTCTTTTATTGGACTTGTGTTAGATTGGTAACTAGTGTAGGCTTACGTGCATGAGAGGGTAGTTGAATTGTATTATTTCAGTACAAACTGACGGATTTGTACACTCTGCTTGAGGGTTAAACATGGCCCAAGATAGTTTTTCTTCTTTTACATTTTTTCAATGTTTGATCGAGAAGATAAAATCTTATCCCATCGGTTATAAAAGTCAGGCACGTTCACAACGTTCTTTTATTAACATTGTTTTCTGTTACACAAAATTAGGCACTTTTCTTTTTATACTACCAGAAATTATCTCTTATCCTATCTCTAATGTCTATAAATAGCAGTTACTCCTACTTTAGAAAGCACACCAAAAGCTGATAGTAGAGATCTTCCTATCAGTTTTCTTCTTCTACTTCTACTTTTTCTTCTTCTTCTTCTTTTTTCACTCTGTGTTGGATTTACGCAACATTTGTTAGTTCTGATCCTTCTTATTTATAACAAGGAGAAGGCTTATTTAATTCTGGAAAAACATTTCAACTTCTTGAAATAGTTTCTTAGAACAGTACAGTACTATTAAATACAACTTAAGCTACCTTTTATTAGCTTTAGTTAAGCTATTTTTCCTACAGTCTTGAGGGTCAACACGAGTTATTTGGCGATAACACCGCTATGAGATTGCTCCAAGAGAAAAAAAAAACCCACTTTGAGAGACCTGACCAAGCTTTCTTTTACACTTCCAAGTTCTATTACATTCATTCCGAGACAAACTTATAATGCTGCCAATGATGTCATCAAATGGCTTTATTCCACTAATAGCGTTTTTTCTACAAATTCTGTTTATGCGTTTCTTCAAAACTCTTTACATATGGTGGATCAAATCCGTCCCAATTCCTATTCTTGGGTATGGAATGCCAACACGTCTTCAAGACTTGAATGTTTCATTTGGTTGGCAGTTCAATCGCGTCTTTCCAGAAGAAGCCTTCTTACAAGGAGTGGAAAAATGTTGACTGATGATTTGTGCCAGATTTGCTATAAAGACTCTTGAGGATGTTGAACACGTCCTACGACTTTGTCCTGCACCTCAAGAAACCTGATCCCTTAAACGAACCTGCAAAACTTGTCTCAACCTTTCACCTGCGGTTCAGAGTTATTGTCACCATTCCAAATCAATCGCAGTGTATCAGTCGCGATGGCGCCGCGATACGTGTTCACCAAATAAATTAATCACGAAAAATACATATACTAGTACATCTTAAACTTCATTTTGTATTTATTTTATCAAAAAAAAAAACATTTTTTTGACTCGGCTTATAGAAGCACAACAATGTCCAGGGATTATTTATTTTTATTAGTCTATGGAAAATCAAGAACTAAAAATTTTCTTAGTATTTACTTATTTTTTTTCACTTATTGTTAAATAGTATAAGATTTTTAATTGATGTTTCAACAACCATTGTGTATTTCAAACCATAATAAATGTTGAGTAAGTACATTTTTTATGTGCTAAATACTCACATATATGTACATCTACTCAAATTGTAAGAGGAAAGCATAAGTATATTTTAAACATTTGAGAATTTTAGATTTTAAGGTTAGTGATGTTAATTAGAGTCCCGTATTAATGCTATAAATTGCTAAATTAGGCTTCAATTTGGTGCTAATTAAATGTAATTAGTAGTCAATCTTGACAAATTAGTCCTTCGAGAAAGTGATTGAGTCAATGTACAACTTAAAATAATGAAGAAGTCCAAACGGAAAGCTAAAAACTAAAAGGCTTTAGGGGTTGACTGCATTTACTCAGAAGATTTGGGGTCAAAATGCAGTTTTCTGAAACTGGTTTAATCGTCACCGCATTTACTTTTTCAATGGCTTCCAACAGTGGAGGATGCAAAGGAGGGACAGCCGCCTCTCCCCATCCAACTTTTTCTTGTGTTGACTGTATAAGGGCTTCTGCCAAAGCCATTGTACCCATGGGCAAAATGAATTAAAATTAAAGAAGAATCTGCCATATTTTCAACAAATTCTTGAAATGATAGTTGGTCATATATAGGTTACACAGTATCAGATGAATTCGAGTCACCGCGCACTGCCAGCCCTCCATTCGTGCTATTCAGTGCATGGGTCAACCTCTTTTTGACTGAATGGCAGTGGGAGAAGCACTAAAAACTTCGTCCGGCAATATGATTAATGGAGCTCCTCTTCGTGCATGTATATGCCTACACATTTTGTTTGGTGGTGGCTTGATCGGCTTCAAATTGACCTCCATGTTCGCCAATGTAAATCACGAGGGCATTGCTTTGATTTAGGTGGTGGAATGATGTCAAATCGATCGTGTTTGAACAATAGCAGGGCATCAATTAATGGTCTTAATTAACTTGATGTGTAGAGCAAATTGAAAATTCAAGAACTGGTGGATTGCAAAGCTCCAGAGTGGCTGCCGAATCTTTGCAATGAAAATTATGGAACAGTAGGGATCCCTGGAGACATGGATCAAGATAAGAAATTATGCATAGACAAAATAAGAAGAGAGAGGGAGAGAGAGAGAGTCTAAACTCTAAACTTTCCTTCCTTTGAGAACTTATAGGCCAAAAGGAACAGCGTTTTCAGTCATTTGTATACTACTATTTTATTTACTGCGGGCAAATATCAGTTCATTGTACGCCGGATACACTCATGAGACGCACATTTGCATCATATCGAATTTGCATTTTCTTTAATGTTTGCAAAATACCCAAAAAAAAAAAAAAGCCGTACGATGCAGTAAAAGTAATATAGTTGAAATTTGGTTTTTTTGGACTTGTGATGGTAGTATATAACTATTCTTCCGTGATATCGCGGTTTATCTTGGCAGAAACAAATGACAGCAAATATTTATGTTGAGCGAGTAGAAACATGAACGCGACCGAAATATCAATCCATAGATGAAGGTCCATTCCCAAACGTGAATTAAAGACACTGCAGCACGATACAATAAAGACAAGTAGCATGCAAGAACGGAGGATACAAGGAGACAGTTCAATGCCCCTTGTCTCTGTCTTTAGGTATTGGAATCTGAAATTCCGAAAATGATACACGAGAGATGTATTCAAATTAACAAAATTTGTACTATAAGGCGACACTGCAGCACGCTGATAATCTCCATCTCCGTTGTCATTTAGAGCCTGCACGTGATCAAAATTCAAAAGGTAAAGAATGACCAAACATCAATCGGAAAAAATAGTAGTGAAAGGGTCACTAAGTCTCAACCCAATATGTGGCTGCAACGTGAATGGTTGTTCATGTCTCTTTGTTTATTTGACTGATCCCACCTTGTAGATCAGCTTTATTGTACTGATTGTAACGTACAATTTACTGTTTGAGAATAAATTTTAACTTACCCTGAAAAAAAAAAATAGTAGTGAAGGGCGAAAGAAGTAAACGTACTTGGTGCAGTCAATGTTAGGATCAATGGTAACATTGAGGTTGACGTTGCAGAGGGCGGGGAGTTGCTTAGCGTTGTCATAATTTATGTTGGGATAAGTTTGCGCAGCAGATTTCAAGCATCGGCAAGCGGATTGCAACTCGTCTTTAGACAAATTAGCCGAATTGGCCACATCTTGAGCACCAGAACAACATTCAATGCTGGGTGCGGGATCAGCAGCTTGCAAGTAACTTAGGCATGGAATCAGCTCTTGCAAGGCACCAATGCAGTCAAATGCCTTGGAGGGCCTCACAATCAAAGCTGCAGCCACTATCAACCATACAAAACAATGCACCATGGTTTTTGCCATTGTAATTAAAACTGGCCTTTCTGTGTCAGACGGTATTAGAAGGAGAAGAATTGGAGGAAGAAATTGTTGAAAGAGAATGTCATTTGGACACTTATTTATACCACAAAGAAGATTTCAAAAGGATTAAGACTTAAGTCTTTTTCCTTTATTAGCAAGACAAGTTCTTGGTAAGACTCATGTCTCTGTTGTTGGAGAAGGGAGACGGATGCTGTTCGTTCATGCATCATCAGCACTGGATTTAGATTAAATATAACGAGTCGGTTACCTTAAAAACCTCCATTCTGTGTATTGTCGATTGTCAGCAGCATGTATGGAATCAATGCACGTATATACATTTATAACCTTTTTTTTTTTTTTTGGGATTTGTTGATCATCTTAAATGCATTTTCTTATTTGTTCGTTATGTGGACCTTACTGATGAGGAGGATACATGTATCGAATGCCATTTAAGGAGGATCTTAGTGTTGTCTGCAACACTAATGTTACTTCCTATAAAGGATCATTCCATGATTGAACAGTTGGTTCATAAAATCAGAAGGAAGGCTCTTGAATTTGGATAGAATGATTTGGGAAAGATTTTTGCAAATAAAAAAAAAATATATTTTACTTATATCAAAAACAATATTTCAATTACTTTTTTTTTAATATATTTTCAACCATATTTTTATCTCACATGTATCAGATTATTAAAAAATAAATTCTACAACATTATTCCCAATGAAATTTCCAAAAATTCTCGAATCAGTGAGATATTTTCCCCTATATATGACGTGATCTCTGTTTTAGCTGTGGATTTATCTTACAGAATCTTACTTTTTGCTAGAGCTGTTAATCGAGCCGAGTCGAGCCGAGTATTTGGTTGCCGAGCTCGACTCGAGTTTAATTCGAGCCGAGCTTGACTCGAGCTCGTTAGGAAAACGAGCTTTAAAATATGTTCGAACTCGGCTCGTTAAATGTACATGTGGCTCGAGCTCGAGCTCGAGCTCGACTCGTTTATCATAAACGAGTCGAGCTTCACGAGCTCGAGCTCGAGCTCGTGCAAATTAACCTTAATAAAAACCTATAATTTTTAATTTTTATAATTTTAATTTCTAAAATGACAAATATGCCCTTCATTAACGAGCTCTAACGAGCTACTCGAGTATCAAACGAGCCGAGCTTACTCGGCTCGTTAACTAAACGAGCATATTTCGAGCTCGAGCTCGACTCGTTAACCAAAATTAACGAGCCGAGCTCGAGCCTTAACGAGCCGAGCTCTAACGAGCTTTCGAGCTACTCGATTGACTTAACAGCTCTAGTTTTTGCCTCAAAAAAAGAGAAAGAAAATGTAGATGCCATAAAATTCCAGCTCGCACGACAATTTTTAAGTTCTTCTAAGTTTTAATTAAGCTAACTGATGGCACAAAGATAATGTCCATGTAGTCAAGAATTGTTTTGACTGGATTAAATGCACCAAGAGACCTGGGCTAATTGATTAGAATATTGATAATTGACAAAAAGTCCGGTCAAATATAGTCCTTTGGCTGCCCGGTATCAATCTATGCCCGTCGCTCCTATATGGCGCGACAGTCAGCAAATTTATTTATTTATTTTAAAAGTCCTTCTGGCCATCGCGCCATGTAGGAGCGACGGTCAGAGATGTCAGAAATTTTCTGACTGTCGCTCCTATATGGTGCGACGGTCAGAATTGTTTTTTTTTTTTTAATCTTTCTGGCCGTCACGCCATATAGGATCGATGGCTAGAGGTTAGAATTTTTTTTTTAAAATCTTCCTGGCTGTTGCCCCATGTAGGACCAACGGTCAGATAATTTAGAATTTTTTTATATAAAAAATCCTTCAGCCAAGCAATTTAGAAATGTTTTTTTTTAAAAAAAAATCTTTGTACAATTCAATTGGGAATTCGGCAAAAAATTTTCTGTAAAAATTATTTAAAATCAAAATTTTTAAAAACAATGCATACAGTTTGACAAAATTTTAAAAACAAACATTGGGCTCGCAAGAATTTAGCATTTTAAAGGAGACTAGGTTTTAAAAATTTGATCCATTTGTTAAAGGATTTAGGGGTTTCTTAAAGAATTAAGGTTTACCATTTTAGCAAGCTTAAGTTATATAACATGCGTAATTGTTATGATTTGTTAAATTTAGAAAATGATTTAATAATATGATTTAAGTTTAAGTGATTGCGTAATGGATGAAGGTATTGCTTAATATTATTATGATTTGTTAACTTTAACTTTATTATGTATAATGCACACAGAATGTTAAAGGAACCGTAATTGTGTCAAAAAATGAAAAATTATAACACGAATTACGATTTATATATTTAAATTTTCATATAAAATGCAATCGTATAAAAAGATTAATTACATATTTGTAGAAATGAAGAATTATTTGCGTGTCATTAGTTGGTATACGATAATTAGTTTAAATAATTTAATCAATTAAAATAGCTGTAAAACAACTAGTACTTATTTGTTTTGTAGGTATTATCCTATAGGACCCTTCTATCCAATTATAGGGTTTAATAAAATAATTTGTACTTCTCTATTTTGAAAATGTTTAATATTATTCAAATTGAAAGTGGTTGGATTAAAAAAGATTTAACGTATGTCTATGCCATATAGGAGCGACGGTCAGAAAATTTCTGACATCTCTGACCGTCGCTCCTACATGGCGCGACGGCCAGAAGGAATTTAAAAAAAAAAAAAAAATTTGCTGACCGTCGCTCCTTTATGGCTGACAGATTATCTGGCTGTGCAAGTATTCTTTGATTTTGACGTTGAGTTCTTGCCTTGTATCTCAAATATATTGGAGGAACTGGCAAGTGGAAGACAATGATTGCCTGATGAGGAACCTGAGCTGGCAACTGGAAGAAGTGGAATGTTGAGATGGGAAGTGTAAGCTTCTTCCGCTGTTGCGTTACTGAAGTGGTCCTCCGGCAGTTGAACAATTGGCCTGTGGTGTCCTATAATGGGATCGCAGCTGCTTGCTTTGCCTTCACGATCAACTTTGTTTTTTATGGATGCTTAGATATCTCAGTTATGGAAAGACATTATTGACTCGCTTTTGGGGTGGTCCGGCTGCTAAATTTCAACTAATTCATAATTTGTACAAGTGCTGTATCTTTGGGAATTTGAAACTGTAACTGAAATTTTGCAAATTGACCTTGATTACCTACTTGACATACTGTATTCTTGCATTTGTTCTGTATAAGTAATGTCTATGTTTTTGAAACTCAGCAGTATACGGTTAGAAGTAAAAGAGGAAATATTAGCAATATCGGATAAAAGCCCATTAGATGCGTCGGAATCGTAGGCCAGGTGAATGAAGTGTCGTCAGCAAATTTTTGCTGATCGGGCATAGATTGATATCAGACAACCAAGGGGTTATATTTGACCGAACTTTTTGTCAAGTAACAATATTCTAATCAATTAGCCGAGACGTGGAGACTCGTCCTCGCTGAGTTTTTTACATTGAATTGATAAAAAATGGGATTTATTGGGCATTTCGACGGTATCAAAATGGGTCTAAACCATTTTATTCACGCCAATATTGGTCCCATAACTTTTAAGGGACTGCTTCGGTATGTATATACTCATATTTTTTTGTACTATTTAAGTCCCCACTCCCCGCTAATTTGCCATCTCTATCTTATAGTCATTAGTCCAATTGTAAACATTGTTAATGAAAATGGATAGTAGAATACATGAAAAGCTGGAAAGAAGAGATTTTTGCTTGCTGGTACGTACCAATAATATGGCTAACAATATTTATTTTCAAGTTTTTAAATTCTTTTTTAAAAAATCAGTCTATACGACAAATATGCTTAGAAATTGAAATATTTAGGACTACATTTGTTTTTTTCTAAACTTTAGGGACTAGAAGGGCTCATGTCCCAAATATTTGGGACGAAAAATGCAATTCTCTTTGGGCAAAAATAATAATTCATTTTAATTTTTCAAGAGAGAAAAAAACTTGATTTTGTAAGAAATGGAGGAGGTGGGCGGTGAAGGGGTCCTCTATCTCCATTATGTGTGCTATGAAAGAGCCCCTAACAAATTTTGAGAAATTACTGTTGATTTTTTTTTTTTTTGAAAGATTACTGTTGATCTCTTGTGAGGGTAGTTAGGCATTTATAGGCAAATTGTGATGATATTTGTTGTGACACTAGATGCTGAAAGCAATTAATATGATTTTGTATTTGCATAAGGACAGTCACTTCCACATTAATTTCTTAACAAACATGGCCTAATTATCCCAAGATCGCTCCTTATATATTCGGTCCTTCCATGAGACAACCAAATTAAAGAGCTCCAAAGTACCTTGCGTTAGAACACTCAATTGATTTCTAGCAGCTGTCTCCTGAATTCTACTTCACCCATCAACTTCCTTAAAGATTAACATGGCAGAAAAAGACGTGATTTCCTGGTGTTTGGTGGTTTTGGGTCTGATCTTAGTAAGCCCGGCAAATGGGATGCAATGTAGAGAGGCGGTGATGGCGATATGGCCTTGCGAGCCTTTCTTGTTGGGGTATGGAATAGTCACATTCCCTTGCTGCTTCGCCGCTGCCGCCCTGAACCAGATTGCAGCGTCTTCTCAGCCGCACCGCAAAGACATCTGCGAATGTCTAGTGCGAGTTGGAAAGGCCATGGAGGTCCAACTGGATAACGCTAAGCAACTTCCTCAGCTTTGTCAGATTAATGCCACAATCCCCATTGACGAAAAAGTCGACTGCAACAAGTACTAAAATGAATTCCCTTTCAGATTTTTGTTAGCTTTGATTTTTTTTTTCTTTTTTGACTCGTCGTTTTTTTGTGCAGACTTTGATTAGTATTCCCCGGTGGAGGAGGATGAGGAGGTGGCTCCAAATTTTAATAATAAAAAAAAAATGGAACCAAGTATGGCTAGCAATAGCATACAATTTTCTGATGATTCTTGATAAGATGTGTGTGTATTACAATGCAAAGACTGTAAGAAAGCAAAATTGAGTTTCAATTCAATCAGAGATAAAGTTTCATGGATCGGTTTCTCCAATTTCTAAATTAAGGGATCTAATGTGATTGCTCTCAACTCTTTTTATGTCCAGAAAAAAAAAAGGTGCAATTTTTCTTTTTTTTTCCCCCCCTCTTTCCAAAACACTGATAAATTAAGAACGCTTTGGGGGTCAAGTGTTTGGATAAGAGAAATGGACCAAAGCCTGTGAAAGTTATATGTTGTATCTATCCAATTACAAAGAAGGGCGACGCGTTAACATTGAGCCCATGGTCTTAGCCCAGCGGCAAAGGCCAGGCCTCCTGCAGAAACTTGTATATGGTTTTCAATTGATTCCCTCTCCGTTGCAAAAAAACATAAAAAGGATTTGAAAATCAAACAGAAAAAAAATAAAATAAAAGGAAAACAACGAGAAAATCATTTAAGAGTTTAAAGGGGGACAAAGAAATAAGGTACCGAGTTAATAGATGATGTAAATTAGAGTGATGACAACCTTGATTTGATCATCTAAGAATTGTTGGTCGGCACTTCAATCCCACAAACAACACACAACTCTCTACCAAGTGAATGAATGAGACAAGTAGTATATGTTACAAACAACATTCCAACAGAAAAAGATTGCATGATTACATTGTTTAGTCGAACAATGCTTGTTTTAATTTGCGTTCAAACAAATGCGGTTTATTGGAAACCATCGAATCATCAGCTGCCGCATTTTGCAGACCCATTCCCTTATTGGGATTTCCACCTTGAAATGGACCTCTCAGTTTTCTCGAGGGCCTTTCCTCCATTGGTGTTTTTGAACTAAAAAAGAGGTCGTTCCCAGACTCAAACATCTAGAAAGACAAGAAGCATAATCGCTTCATGGCTGTGAGTTCTATCTTGTCATCCTCTCCCTATTTTCTTGTTTCTTGTTTCAGTTATGGCATGGTAGTACTTCTTTTCTTCTGCACACGGTTTTAAAGTGTTTCGTTTTGCTGTTGAACTGCTTTTGTTTAGTGGGACTAGTTCAACTCTGCAACTTCAGAATTTGTTGGCTAGGACAGGTGCAACCTGGACTCCAGTTTGGTGCAGGATTGTTGTGATTGCATTCTAAAATTTAGCATAATCCTGCTAACTAAGCATGATATTCTATCCGAATTGCAACAATCCATTATTAGAGGCAAAAATGACCCTTTTTGAACAAATCATGGCGAAAGATGATTTTAATTTGGATTCCTCCACGCGACTCAATTGCAGTATTCTAGCATAGACAGCTGGTGATGTTTTTGAATCCGGCTGTTACAAGTACTAACTCATCTAGCTGAGAATACAAATCTTCTTTGGCAAGTCCTTAGACAATTTTGTTTTCTGAAAGACTCCAACTGAATTATGCTTGAAATCACTGTATTATGTGTTCTTCCTTGCATCCAGTACCCAATTTCTGCTGCTGTTGGATAGCTTTTTATAGTTATTGCAGGTATTCAAGTTGTGTTGTGTTTCTTGTTACCTTTTGGAATTACTTGCAACATTGCAGTTTCTAAAATAAGCACATGAATTTTAAATGACTTGGCTGCAGCAGCGATCGCATGTTCCAAAGTTTGGAAATTGGGATGGTGAAAATGTACCCTACACGGCCTACTTTGACAATGCGCGGAAAGAGAAGATAAGTGGTATCAGAATGAATCCAAATGATCCGGAGGAGAATCCTGAGGCCTTCATGTTTTCAGGATTGATAAACGGAGGTGAAGCTTCTGAGTTCAGCCCTACTCCTTTGCAAAGAAACCTTGTCAGGCCAATTTCTTCAGAAAAATACCGACAAAAGCAGCGCTATGGTCATTGGAGAAACACTTCCGATGAACCAAAAAGTGTTGGTCAGAAGAGCCCTGGTTCAGAATCAATCACTGATAAAAACAATTATGACAATCCACACCAGCAAAAGAGATCTGAACGCAAGAAGAGTATGATGACTGAGAATAGCAATAGTTTTATTCCATTGTCACCTGCACGCAGGGCAAGAGGTGGAAGTGATACATCTGATGACCTTGTAAGCATTTGGTTTCCCATCCAGCCGGTTCTCGATTGTTTCTGTGTGTAATGACAAGCTAAAACTACAAAATTCTAAACGGTGCTTTCAGTAAAAATGATTTTGTTTCAAAACTGAAGAATACATAGAGGAACTCATCCTTGTGCCATGCCTTTCTTGAAAATACCAAGCTGTGTAGTTTGAACGGTGTTCTTCATTTCTAGGCAAAACTATATGTTTGTGATTCAAAGACTGAACATGCACTGCACTCTGCAGTATTAAAGCAGGTTAACATTTGCTTAATAATTGCAGAATACCGGTCTGGAATTGCTACTGTTTTACACATCTCGTTAGTTGCACATTACTAATGTTGCACTCATAATTGACCTGTTCGTATGCTCCTGCCGATTTCTTCTCAATCAGTCTTACAATTCAGCATCTGTTCCCAAATTCGGGGCTTGGGATGAACGAGACCCCAGATCTGGAGAAGGTTTTACTGTAATCTTCAACAAAGTGAAGGAGGAAAAACGAATCGCTGCATCAAAATTCGCACCTGCACAGCAGCCTCAGTCTAGCAACAATGCAGAAAGCCATAAAAGGGACGCTAAATCAAAGGTCTGCAATTTATTTCTACAAGGAAATGCTCGTAATTTGGACCCGGCACGCGCATTTATCTCACTTTAATCGTTGTTTCTCTGTGCAGATGTTTTGCTGCCTGTTTTGAACTGCAACGAGTTGATCCTGGCGGCTTGGTTAGTCCGTCTGGTTAAAGCTTGAGAATGTATTGGCGGCGATACACTCTCAGTGTTTTTTTTATTCCTTCCGCTGCATCAACATCAACAGGGTTTCTGCAGTAAAATCTGGAAGTCTTGGCATGCATACTGGTACTAGTTTTTACGGGCATTCATTTCCTTTCGTCGCATGAATACAAGCACTTTCAGCGAAGTTTTCCAAAGAGGAGTGTGTTTTTGTAATAGAATCATCATACTAGCTAGTAGTATAAAGCAAAATGTAACAAAAACTAGAGCATTATCAGAATCAGTCACTTTCTATTTCTCAGTCTACTCCGCTGGCTGAATATTTCGGTGCTCTTCCATCACTTGGGAAGTGAGAATTCTGAATTTGCAAGTTCCTCGCTAATAGTATAGAACCGTTCAAATTCAATTTCTATGCCATATACTTTTTGAGGAAAAGTTTCAAAAATTCAAAAATCTTTGGATTAGCTTAATTTGATTATGTAACATGTGGGTCATGCCAGTCTGTGATGTGCTCATCAACTTTATTTCCATCACATCCGTGGAGAAGCACAAGCAACTATGAAGAAATCATTAAAAATTTTAAAATAATTCAAATGCTCAACTTTTTCTTTCTGATTGCAAATAAATTTTTATTCGGCGGAAGATTACAAATATATAGTTCAATCACTAATCAAACTTATAAGATCGATCCTTTAAAAAAAAAAAAAAGAAAAAGAAAAAGAAAAAGAAGCTCATTACTAAATTCACTTGTTTAAATGATTGAGCAAAACTATTTGAATGAGAGAGTTTCTATCATGGTTGATTTGCATTAATCATTTAAAGAAATCATCATCTTCCCCTAAAACGAGATAGCTCATATTCAAGCAAAACACTTATTAGGAAGTTGAAGCCGTTACAGGGAGATAAGGTTTTAATTCTCTCTCTTCTTCTTCCTTTTTTTGGGTTAATTGCACTTTGCATCCAAAACTATTTCCAAATTGGACTTTGCATCCTAAACTTTTATTTTTCGCAATTCACTTCCTTTAACTTTGAATTTTTTTTTCAAGAAACTCAAACTTACCTAATTTTGACCGGTACCCTATGAAGGAGGTAAAAAAAAAAGCACATGAGTTTTTTTAAAAAGTGTCAATGGGTACTCGTTAACATATTAATAATTAATATCCTCATTTATCCAAAAAGAATTCTCTTTCACATTTATACACATTTCCTAAATTATGACCCTTTATTGCATTTATACACTTTGTCTAATTTTCTTTATTTTTTAAAATATAGTAATACGAGTACTTGTTGGGCTCTCTGTGGACAAGTACATGTACAATGGGACATATTTACGCGTAGCAAACGACGTCGTCCATCAAAGTGTAAAAATAAATTATTTAAAAAAGGGGCGCCACGTCGGATATCGCCTCCGTCTCAAGCAAATGGAATCCGGTTTTAAATTCCCTCCCTTTCAGGGTTTTCAAATTCTCTCAACAAATACCAAATACTACGACTACTCACCTCAGTTTCCTCTCTCAAACCTCTCTCCCAAATCCGTCCAAAAATGGAGAAGACGGTTTCAGTTCCAATCACTTATTCTTGCTCGAAAGATCACCAGAAGATCTATCAGTATTGGTTCAACTTCGCCGACTCAGGTTTTTCCTTCTTTTTTTGGTCATAACTTTTTCGTTCAAATTAATTTAGTTGCTGTTCTTCCCTTCCAATTAATCGTTAACTATGTTCTTTCTTTCTTTCTTTCTTTTCGTTTCTTTTCTTTCTTTCTTATAGATTTATTTACTTCGCATTCTACTTTTCCTTTTGTGCAGACGGCGATGGCCGCTTGACTGGAAATGATGCTACGAAAATTTTCGCCATGTCCAATTTGTCTAGGCCTGAACTCAAGCAGGTATATTCTGTTATGTGTCTGGATGGGGAATTATTGTACGCACATAGTAGGTAGGTGATGTGGATGAATAATTTAATATCGATTATGGAAAGGACCTTCTCTCTCTCTCTCTCTCTCTTGGAGGAAAAATGTTAAATGTGCGATTGGTCTACTGCTTAAGAAATATTATTAGTACAGTCGATTTGGAGTTTTTTTTTTTAATTGTTTTGGTTATTGGTTTAGTAAGTGAGTCGAAGTACTAGATTTATGAAATCTGATGTACCTGTATCTGTGTTTTAATTTTATGCACTCCAAAGTGGAAATTGTCGATGTCAAAGGCAGTTTTGATATATTCATCTACCAGCGGAAAACTCCAATTGCCGTTAGGAGATGAAATTGAATTGCTAAGACATTGAAGGATTTTACCTTCGAAATTTTTGTTATCTCTCTTTTGCTGTTTACCTTTATTGCATTGATCATCGTCCTTACCAGGGTTTTAGAGCCATAGCGAGCCATATTTCTTTTCAATTTCTGGACTTATGGATTATCCGTTCTCTAGTTTGTTTGACCATTGTGATTGCTACCACAGTTGGTAATTGCTCTTGAAACATGTTTGTTAGTGTATTTATGATTTTTTTTTTGAAGGTCTGGGCATTAGCCGATTCCAAAAAGCAAGGTTTCCTTGGTCTGACGGAGTTTATCACTGCAATGCAGGTTTCACTATAGAACCCCTTTTGTATTTAAAGTCAATTCATTGTCCAGAATTGAGTTCTGATTTTTTGTCTTTCTTATTTCTTTTTTCCCCTGATTGATAGTTGATAGCTCTTGCACAAGAAGGTCATGAAATAAACTCAGCTCTCCTTAAAAACGCAGGCAAGTGGATTTTATTACCTAAATTTTCCAAGCTCTACCTCATTTATGCCATTGGAATTTACAGAAATTTAATCTAAGGCATTTTCTATAGACTTAAATTTTCGTCATCTAACTTAAAACCTTCATGCTGATTATTTGTTTATTGCACATGGGCATGTAGATTCTACAAATTGCCTTCACTTTTTTCATTTTCGATGGAAAGAAACTCTCTCTGTTGGTATGTTGAGAATTTTGGTTATGAGCTAAAAGGTGAGGCTAACTTGTTGCAGTTTACTATTGCAGGGGAAGAATCTCAAAAGAACAGTATATACAATTGCACCTAAATAATTTCAAGATATCTGTGAAAATTGTGGTTGGGAAGTTAGGTTTTTGAGCCAATCTACTAAAAGTTGTCAGACTATTTTGCACGAGACATTTTTATGACTAATTTGTCATATTCTTTAAAAGAAATCTCACTACTGTCCTAAGAAATTGCTTTAGTGTTCATCATTCCTGTATGGCTTGTCTCCAAGTATACATAAGCAGCCAGATAATGCTATATAGCTGAAAATGCATTTTAGTGAATATCAGTGTTGGACGGTATAGGATGTCATAGAATATCTTTGCTTCTGAATTGAACACTTAGATTCCAGGAATCTCTTCCTCCTAGGCAAGATTTTAGATATATAACTATTGCTCAGAGTTTTCTTCTGAAGTTGATGCTGTGATCTTTTAGACATCTTTTTGCTGTATTGAAGCTTTTGTGTCTTCTCTTTTTAGCTGTCTTGGAAAGTCTGAATCTCCCTGTGATGGAAGGTTTGGCTGCATTACAGGCCGTAAGTACACCATTTCATTTTGTTGTAATAAATTTATGATAAAAGCTTCAAGCTTCTGGTTTCTCACTCTCTTCCCCTTCCTTCCAGAAGACCAACGTATCACCAGTCAAGGAAAAGCTTGAAGGAAATGGTCTGATATTTTTTCTTATTGTTTAATGTCACTCTTTCTCTTTTTGACTAAAATATAATCTCATGCCATATAAGTCTATTGTTAAAAAAAATGCAGGAACTGCTGAACTGCAGTCCAATCCCCTAGTCAAATTATCTAAAAGAAAATCTGCAAAGAAGGTATAGCTTTGATTCATCCAAACATTACCTTGTAGATCTACCTCTCAGGAGATTATTCTGACTTTTTTCACTCTTTGCTTTCTTACTGTCTCTATTTGCATGAATGTGGTGATGTTTGTGTCTTTCCATTTCACAAAGTCGTCCAATGACTTAAATTAAGTTCTCCAACAGAAAAATCTACTACAACTTCTTGACTTGGAAGAGTACCTTTTTTTTCAATGCATAAATTGACAAACAAGTGTTTTTTTTTCGTGTTTTTTTTGTGGGGGGGGGGGGGGTTTGAAGTCCTTGACTGATGTAAGGTTCCATATTCTTACAGTCCCTGAGTTCCGTTGCCCCTGTTACTTCTGTCACTGATGGCTTGAAAAGATTGTACAATGAAAAGCTAAGGCCTTTGGAAGTTACCTACCATTTCAATGATTTTGGGTCGCCATTACTGGTGAGTGAATTAACAAAACAACTATGCTTGTGTCCTTAGAAATCTTGCTTTATTAGCTGTTATTCACATCTCATTGATTCTTATAATCATCCTAGAAGTTGTAGATATCTGTATTCATTTGATTTATTTCCTTCAACTTTCAGACAAATAGTGATTTTGACGCCAAACCAATGGTCATGCTTTTGGGCCAATATTCAACTGGAAAAACCACATTTATCAAACACTTGCTTGGGTGTAGTTATCCAGGTTGGCCAGTTCGATATATCTGTTAATTGAGTCTTCAAATACTTTTATTTGGTGGCGACTTTCCTCGACTAAAGGTTTATTTTTATATTCGCAGGAGCTCATATTGGACCAGAACCAACTACTGATCGTTTTATTGTTGTTATGGTACTCAAAATCCACTAATGTATTATCAGAGTTTTGTCATTTAAGTATAATATTTCTTAGGAAGTTGAGATTAATCTGGAAGTATGTTCTAATCAGATAAGATAGTCAATGTAGATTTCTAGGTATTGAAGGATATACTGATTTTCACTCCTTTTTTTTTGGGGGTCAAAGAACTTTCATTTGCCTAGATTGTTGTTCATTGGGCCACCAGTGCAGCTGTTTATGACGGCAAATACTTGTTCACTTCACATTTATAATATTGGGTCTATTGCAATTATTGTTATCCTCCTCTATTGTTCACCACTTGCTTTTTCTTCTACTCAGTCTGGACCAGATGAGAGAAGCATTCCTGGCAACACCATTGTTGTTCATGCAGAGATGCCATTTACTGGCTTGACAACTTTTGGAGGAGCCTTTTTGTCCAAGTTTGAGTGTTCCCAAATGCCACATCCTGTGAGTTATTACCTGCTGCAGCCATACGCATTGCCTTTTGAATTTATAAGATGCAATTATCTAACACAATTTTCATTCGATTTTAGCTG